AAGAAAGGAAAATGGCTCAAATTTTGCCCTTTGTATTATTGAATATTGCTTCATTTTGTCATCCATTTTACTTTTGGTCCATTGATACTCTTGTTCAATTGTTTCGTATTTATCCTTACAATTACTGAAATTTAAGTTTTTCAAGAAAAAAAGGTGTATTTATAGCCCTCAATTTTTATTGTATTTTAAAATTGCTCTTAAGCTGGAGATTCATTAAGTGCCAGTGAAAAAAACGAGATTGTTTCCAAACAACCACTTAGTACAACAACAACAACAACAATAACAACGACCCAGTATAATCCCATAAGTGGANGTAATAACTGGAAAGTGTTCAGAGTCGCCTCCTACTGTCCTAACCCGAGTCTTAGCTCCATCATACATGTCTTTAATCACCCTAATATAGTTACTCGGGACCCCTTTATCCTCTAAGCAGCTCCATAAGACCTTCCTAGGAACCTTATCGTACGCTTTCTCCAAATCAATAAACACCATGTGGAGATCCTTTTTCTTATCTCTGTACTGTTCCACCATCCTCCTAATAAGGTGGATAGCTTCTGTGGTAGATCTTACCGGAACCGGGTTGAAGAATCGAAAATTGGGCACCAAGGCACGAAGATTGGGTACCGAGTTCGGGATTCGAGATGCCTATTGAGATCGAGGCCAGTAGTGATCGAGGCCAAGTGGGACAGACAACGAACAAGATCGATGACTGCATAGTAAAGGAAATGCGAGATATTCATGACTGGTCGAAGATCATGGCGGTAATCTCGGAACAGATCAAATCAAAGGCGATTGTTTAGGCTAATCATGAGATTTACTTCCGTAATTAGAATTGTACAATAGATAGGATTCCTCTACTACATAAAGAGGGTTCTAATCATTTTGCAATGACCTGACATTCGCGCATATAAGCAATAAAATACTTTATGTCTAGCTTATATTCTTGTTCATTAGTTTGCTTATTTCTCAACTATTCAAGTACCGATCAGTTCGAGGGCACTCAAGCTCGAGGGCTGAATTACGTTTCAACACTAGTTTTCTTTATCTCATTGTTAATTTCTACTACTAATCTTTACATGCATCAATTGGTATTAGGTGAAATCATGTGTCCTTAAAACCACATTGTCACACCCATTTTTTACCAACTTCACTAAACACTCTTAAATAAATAAAAGATTTGTAAAGCTCAAAAAAGGATTTCTAATTAAAAAGTGAAAAAGCATTGTGTTTCAAAAGAATTAACTCAGAGTCGCCACCTGACATTCGTTTCGGTGTGCCAGGTCACCGTTTTTCTTTAACAAATAATTTTTCCTTTTAAAACATTTTAGACTCTAAAACCAAGTCCGCACCAGAGATTAGGGTAAGGGGGTTCATTTGACGGGGAGAAGGTGTTAGGCATTCCCCGAGTCCCGTAACTAGTATGGTTGCGTACATGATCAAGTTGGCTTTAAAGAATATTCAGATTGAGGTAAAAAAAAACACAAAAAGAAACAAGCGATCAAAAGAGGCTCGAGGTCATCCCCACCTAATAAAATAAAAATAAAAATACTATTCTATGCTTCCTCAAAGTGTTCCATCACTGGCCTTCAAACACAAATACTTCGGGGCATACCCCGGATAAAAATATATACAAATTTTTCGGGACATTCCCCGGATATATTCAACTAAAGGAACGACCTCTCGCCGCGAAACCAACAAAAATCCTAACGGCCTAAGCATACTCCTAGTGATTAAAAATAAAATGATATTAAGTGAAATTTATATTAAATCCAGTTCACACGTGTAAACTGTGACCAAAGCTCAAGCCCATTTAAACCCCAATTAACTAGATTCTTATCCCATCCAATACCACTCCTACGACTCAGTTAATGTCCATTCTTTTATCATTCCGTTTGAAATCATTTACTGGTTCATTAAGATTATCTTTCTCACGCATCAACACATATACACAAAAACAGGAATTCAACAATGTTTATATTTGAAAATTCAGTTCAAACAGATTTAAAAATAAATAAAAATCAGTCATAGCATAATAATTAATGCACGAAGCGCGAACAGGCATAAATCATGCACGTGAGCTAGATTAAGTAGAGAACAGAGTAAGGAGTCGACCTCAGGTGGAGCCCAAAACAATGATCAAAATTTAAACTGACGAGAGACCTCCATGCGAGTTCAAAGAGCAACAAACTTTCAGAAATGAACTGGCCAAGAATAAAATCGGACCTCAAACGTATTCCAAATATGGACTAGAACAGCAGGTCGTAACACTCGAACCTCGGACGGCAAATCCAGTTTCGAACTCGAACACTTCACATAAACTCTATTTTGAGAAAGCAAAAATCCGAAACTTTTCTGCTTTTTCTGTTTGTCGCTGGTGGCGATGGGGTTGTGGAGATTAGGTTCGTTGGTGTGGTGGGCGGCTGCCTTAGGTTCAAGGGTCTTGAGTTTTCTTGTATTCATGAAGAAGAAGATTAAACCCAAGGTTTTTGGACTCTTCGGCAAAGGAATGAAAATCTGATCGGGATTCTCCTTTTTTCAAAACGACAGATAATTTTTTGTGTCCAAAGTTTTAGGAGGGTGTTTGGCTAAGCTTATAAGTTGGCTTATAAGCACTTTTTGGCTTATTTACGCGTTTGGTAAAATTAAAAGTGCTTATAAGGCCAAAAATAAGCAAAAAGTCATAAGTTGGTCTCCCTCAACTTATCAAATTTCAGCTTATAAGCACTTTAGGTTTGACCAAAATATTTACTATTCTATCCCTAAAATAATTCTTTTTAAACAAAACTCTTCGTATACCCAGTTCTTCAGCTGTTATTATTAGTTTCAGCACTTTTATCCAAACACGTAACTGCTTATTTTGTAAATCAGTTTCAGCACTTAAAAGTATTTTTCAGCAGCTAATGATTATCAGCTACTCTAAATCAGCTAAGCCAAACAGGCTCTAGATCTTTAGGTTTTTGTTTTATTTTCAGAAACGGCTCCCAATCCAAAATTGTCTAAGGTCCCTTTTAAGTGTCTTCCTAGGGTTTTAGGGGGATTGGGTTTGGGTTGTTATGGGCTAAGTCCAAAAATTAGGCCTGAAAATGGGTCGCTGAGACCAAATTTTATTCCTTCTCCGTGAACGACACTGAAATACGACCTCATTTACTAACTAACCCTACTTAAATAAAATAACTATTAAAATAAGACTAACCGTTAAAACAAACCTATTTTTGGTATTTTTCAAGATTAAAAATGACTACAAAACGTTAATGAAACTATTTTTCTTGTAATTTTCATTTTTTGTGAGTCAAAACTAATTAAAATAGCGATATTAGGCCTAAACTAAACATTTACATGCTAAAATATAAAAAATCTTGGGGAATATCAAAAATCACATGTTTACATACATTATAAGTTTAATTGTTATCTAATTTTAAGGGTAAATACTCATACATAGTAAACCATGACATTAGCAATATCATAACCTTTAATATATGGATAAACATATATAAAGATAGTACCGCCTTTTTAAATCTTTTTCCTAATCCTTTCAACCGTTTTTAAGAATATTTTTGTATATGCATACTATTTTTGATACACAAAACCAAACTATTGATAAAAATAATTTAAGCATAATTAATTTCAATATTATTGATACATTTTATTGAGTACTATTTTTATACCCCGACCAAACAACAAGAGTCACAAGTTGGAGCATCATATTCCAAGTTAGGACGAGTTTTACTATTTTAATACTCTTTTCCCAATGCAATGTGAATATCTCTATATTTCAGATCCGAATTTAAAAGTAGAAAGAATTAAAAGGAATATACTGTGACATCTGACAAGATTCCTACTTATGAAAAGTAAATTATAAGTTATAATATTGGTATAAACCATTGTCCCTTTGCTTGTAAGCCAAGAGAAATGAAGAAAAGACAGAAAATGAACACTTATTTTTTCTCTGTAATTTTGGGGAAAAATGAAAAAAATAGTGTAAAGAAAAGTTAATCTTTCAGTCATTTTTATGCATCTATTAGACAAGATCTCTTAGGTTGTTCGTTGAAAAAAAAAATTAGACAAGATTTGTTGGAAAAAAATTTAAAAGCAATTTCAATGGCGAAAAAAAAAATCATTCTGCAAAATTGTAGGATTTCGATGGAAAGAGTTTCTTTTTATGCAAACTTTTCTTTTCCTTTTTAATATATAATTCAATTAACTTTTCGGAGTTGTTTGGCTGTGATATTAAAGCAATTAATCACAAAATCTGGCAATAAAATCATATTCATATTAAGTAATGCATGAACTTATATAATATTTTATGCATGATATAATATTAAATAAAAATATGTGTATTAATAATACTGAAATTAAACTATTTAAAGATCTTTTAAAATAAGTAATTTATGTATAATGATTTATTATTATTAATCACTGCATAAAAAACATTCGCGGTATAATATTATAATCCTGGCATAACTATCAAGTGAACCAAATGACTATTTCACCCCTAAATAATTTTCTTTCCATATTGTCTTATCCCCCTTGAGTCTTAACCAAACAAGGGATTTTAAAAGGGATTGTTTTGTTATAGAAATAGCCGGCCGAATTTAATGCTTACTTTTTTTTGTCAATATATATAGATTATATACAGTTATATATATATTATTCATGAATTATACATATATTATATATTTGCCTGCTATTTTTAGTTTAAAAAATTAGGTGAGTGGTTATTGGGCTAATTCTTCTTTTAAAAGGACAAAAATTACTTTTAACCCGCAGCCGAAACTATTTACCTCGATTAACAAATTTATATATTTTTTGTATATTACATACAAAAAAATATATAAATATACAAAAAATATGTATATTTTCGATTATTATTTTGAGAGCGGCTATAAAATGTCATTTCCCAATTTAGAAAAGGTATTTTCACATTCTTTTCCTTCATTTTCTATCCATCCTATTTTCCCTTCCTTTCTAGTATTCTTTTCCTCACAGTTTGTAAAAACAAACGGTTTAGATTGTAGCTACGTTGTCCACTTGATCTTAGATCCTCGTTTGATTCATCCAGATTCCTAGGACCCTTCGCTCCCCATTCCCCAATTATTACTACTTTATTATTCACCGCAAATCTTCAGTGTGTAAAACGTGCTCTCATTTACTTGTTTTTCACTTTTTGTATTCATTTCACCTTTTGTATTCTTTTCTCCCTTTGACTTCAAGAATGTTGCAGGCCCTTTAAGCCCAAAAAACATTTTCTTGAAAAAGGTATGAGCTTTCTCTTTGCTGCCACTTTTGTGTTTTGAGTTTTATTAATTCAGCTTCTTGATTTGAGATGCTCATGGGTTTTAATTTTCGTAGTGATTAGTGCTTTATATAGTTGAAGATTTTGTAATCTTTTGTGGTTCAGTATACTGTGAATTTTGAGTGTCAAGATTCAGAATTTGTGCTTACCAATCAAAAAACTGATAAAAAGATTCAAATTTTGTGCTTTTTCTCCCCACACCTATTTTAGTGTATTTTTTCTCTTTATTTGAGCTTGAATTTTCTTAGCCTTCAGTTGTCTATAGTTGAGGATTTTGTAATCTTTGGGGGTTCAATATTGGGTAAATAGGGCAGTGTACTGTTAATTTTTAGTGTCAAGACTCGAACTTTTTGCTCTTTTATAGCTATTTTAGTGTAGCCGTACAATTATCACTATGAATAAAAAAGGGCAGTCCTGTCACAATGCATTCCACATTCACGCAGCGTCGGGAGAAGGCAAGGGGATTTTATGTAGTCAGCCTACCCTGATGACTCCACGGCTCGAAGTCTCAAACCCGTGACCTATAGGTCACACAGAGACAAGCTTTGTCTCCTAACCGTTGCTACAAGGTTCCCCTTCCTAATTATCACTATAAGTAAGAACCATGATTCCAACAGTAGTGATTAATATTGACATAATAGAAGTAAGTGGGTCGATCAAGTATCCGAAGTCTAAAGAAAAATCATTATTGATGATCCAAGACCATACATATTTATAAAAAAAGCTGCTATTTATTTGCTGAATAGACATTTAGTTAAGCTGGTAGCGGCCAGGATTCACTATGAATATGCACCAGATAGTTTGAGTCTTTGAAATTGAAAAAAAGTTTCTTGACTGGTTTATGGATTTTAACATGGTTATTGATTTCTTGTGGAATAGTGTTGAGTTTGCGGAAATTTATTTTTGACGTTGGAATTGAGTTTCCATGCTGTTTTTGATCTTTGGTTGCATGAAAACTGAGTGGGGAGTAGTGTGACTATGTTACACTATGTTACTATTGCCAGATTTCAATGCCATAAGCTCATGACATGTATCAATAGATTTGTATTCTTAATAGGAAGGAGGAGGAAAAAAAATATGCCAATCTTTTTCATTAAACGGATCAAAAGCTTGAAACACTCTATGGATGATTAAGAGTGAGATCTAATTTTAGTATAACTCAATCGTAATAACTATATTAACTAAACCTACCCACAAACAAGAAAAGTCAAATTTGTATACTAGGCATAAGGAAATGTGGCATAAAAAGTTTTCAAGCTCTAGCCGATGGGACAAAACTACTTTTGAAAGAGAACCTTATTCCATCTAAAGGAGATACTCGTTTATTCAGTATCTGATCAACCATAGCAACAATGTCATTCTTTCTAAGTTGTAAAATAGATAATAAAAAATAAAATAAAGAATCTAAAAAAAGCTCGATTTCGATATATAGTTCTACATTTCATATACATGCAAATGTGCATTTGTTTGATGCTTGTCATACCTTTTTATCATGGAATTGGGGTTGGATCAGGAGCTTAAGTGCATGAATAATTTATACTAAGGCAAGTTATAACCTCCTATTTAGATATCTTCTAACTCTTCCTTTTTTCGCGTGTGTAATGATCTTTTTTGATGTTGGAATTTGAGTTTCCATGCTACTCTTAGTTTGGGGTTGCATGAACTGGACTTGCATTTCAGAGTGGATCTCTTATTATGCTTGCAATACACTTTCTCATTGTGTAATTGGGATTTGGGTAGGAACATACATGAATGCTTGGATAAGCTTGTACGAAGTTCAAGTTAAAATCTCCTCTTTAGATATCCTCCATTTCTTATTTTGCAGATTATGAAACCATGATATCAGACTCCTTTAGTTAATTCCTAATTCTTAATCTCCATGAATGCAAATGCAACGGACATATGCTGTTGAAATAGGATTTGCATGTCCCTGATTTTGGCCTATGCTTAGACATAAGGAACTTATTTTGATGAAGATATGAAAATTATTTAGCAACAACAAAAAACCCAGTTTGATCCCAACAAGTGGGGTCTGGGGAGAGTAGTCTGTACGCAGACCTTACCCCTACCTAATGCAGGTAGAGAGGCTATTTCCAATAGACCCTCGGCTCAGGAAGAGCAAGAAGAAGAGGAAAGCAAGGAAGGAAAAAGATGTAGATAAAAAAAAAGGGGGAGATAAAGGATAAGTGGTACCAAATAATAGCAACAGAGAATACAGTACCTGAGGCGAACAAAACCACATAACATAATAAAAATCTAAGAATATGAAGGGACATGCATACTACTAAGACTATCGGTGAACAACTATAGACTACCTACTAACCTTTTACCTTAATCTTCGACCTCCACACTCTCTTATCAAGGGTCATGTCCTCAGTGAGCTGAAGCATCGCCATGTCCTGCCTAATCATCTCTCCCCAATACTTCTTAGGCCTACCTCGACCTCTTCTCAAACTCTCCATGGCCAACCTCTCACACCTCCTAACAGGCGCATCCATGCTTTTTCTCTTAACATGTCTGAACTATCTCAGCCTCGACTCCCGCATCTTGTCCTCCTTAGCCCCATACAGCATAGCCGGTCGAACCACCACTCGATAAAACTTACCTTTAAGTCTTAGCGACACATTCCTATCACACAAAACACCGGAAGCGAGCCTCCACTTCATCCATCCCGCTTCAATGCGATGCGCGACATCTTCGTCAATCTCCCCGTTACCCTGGATAATAGACCCGAGATACTTAAAACTCGCTCTCTTGGGGATAACTTGAGCATCAAACTTAACCTCTACGTCTGCATCATGGGTCTCGTCATTGAACTTGCACTCCAAGTATTCTGTCTTGGTTCTACTCAGTTTGAAACCTTTAGACTCCAAGGTCTGTCTCCAAACCTCCAACCTCGCGTTAACTTCGCTACGCGTCTCGTCAATCAACACTATATCATCGGCAAATAGCATGCACCAAGGCACCTCCCCTTGGATGTGACGCAACAATACATCTATCGCCAAGGCAAATAAAAATGAGCTAAGAGCCGATCCCTGGTGCAACCCCATCACCACAGGGAAATGTTCCGAGTCACCACCCCCAGTCCTCACCCGAGTCTTAGCATCATCATACATATCCTTAATCATACTAATGTATGCTACCGGAACACCGCTAACCTCCAAACACCTCCACAGGACCTCCCTCAGAATTTTATCGTATACTTTCTCAAGGTCAATAAACACCATATGCAAATCCTTCTTCCTCTCCCTGTACTGCTCCACTATTCTCCTTACCAGATGAATCGCTTCCGTAGTCGAACGCCCCGGCATGAATCCAAACTGATTCTCGGAAATAGACACACACCTCTTCACCCTGGCCTCCATCACCCTCTCCCAAACCTTCATAGTGTGACTCAACAGCTTGATACCCCTATAATTATTGCAATTTTGGATATCACCCTTGTTCTTGTAAAGCGGAACCATCGTACTCCACTTCTATTCTTCGGGCATCTTCTTTGTCTTAAAAATAACATTAAACAACCTAGTGAGCCACTCCAAACCTGCCCGCCCCGCGCTCTTCCAGAATTCCACCGGAATTTCATCTGGCCCCGTCGCTCTGCCCCTGCACATCTTACGCATCGCCCCTTCCACCTCCTCTACTGTAATCCGCCTACAGTACCCAAAATTCCGCCGACTCTCGGAGTGCTCCAACTCACCAGCACAATGCGTCTATCCCCCTCCTCATTCAACAGTTTATGGAAGTATGTCTGCCATTTTCTCCTAATAAGTGCCTCGTCCATCAACACTTTTCCATCCTCGTCCTTGATGCACTTGACTTGGTCTAAGTCGCGGGCTTTCCTCTCGCTCACCTTGGCCAACCGGTACAACCTCTTGTCCCCGCCTTTGCCCTCGAGCTCCTCGTACAAACGAGCAAACGCCGCGTTCTTAGCCGTCGTAACTGCTAACTTCGCCTCTTTCTTAGCCTTTTTGTAACACTCCCGATAAGTGCTTTTTTCCTCCTCGTTTGTACTCTCTACTAGCTTCAAATATGCAGCTTTCTTAGCTTCCACTTTACCTTGAACCTCTCCATTCCACCCCCCGTCCCCTTTATGACACCTAGGAGAGCCCTTTGTGACCCCTAAGACCTCTCTAGCAGCTACCCTAATGTAATCTGCAGTCGTGAACCACATACTAGACGCGTCCCCCCTACTCATCCAGGCCCTCATAGCCAACAACTTCTCCCCTAACTCCTAAGCTTTGTCCTTGGTCAAGTTACCCCACTTGATCGTAGGTTGCCNTTCAGGATTAACGTGCTTATGAATTTTGTTCTGAGGCTCTTATGTACTTATGTTGTTTGGTGTCCAGATGAAGCTATTAGTGAAAATTACATCTATTTGTTTTGTTCTTTGATAAGTTACAATTATTTCTTTATCCGTTCTGTTCACAATTTGTCTTACAGGAGCAGGCAGATATGAAAAATAAAAAGGTTACAGGAACTATAATAAGAAGAGCTACTGCTGTTGCTTACACTAACACTCGGCTAAAAGCAACAGTGCTGCAGTTGGCTTAAGAGTACTAGTGGCTTTGTTCAATGCTGAAATCTTTGTTTCTGAGATTTGTTACTAACTCACAGAACGTGAAAGCAAATGGCAGAAGAAAATGGTCAATTTGTTTTTACAGATTTTCAAGAATCTACGTCTGCTAGATTTAATACAGATGTACAGGCAAATAACAACTTTCACGGGCCAGGTCTTCCTGGTCTTAAGAGGAGAGGCCAAGGTCATGGGAGTCGCTCTTGGATAAAGATTGATGAGCATGGGAATTCAAAGATTTTGGAATTGGATAAGGCTACTGTTATGAGACATTGTGCTTTACCAGCCCGGGATCTCCGTCTTTTGGACCCTAAGTTTATCTATCCTTCCACGATATTAGGGCGAGAGCAAGCTATTGTGGTAAACCTTGAACAGATCAGATGCGTCATCACAGCTGATGAGGTTATACTGATGAATTCTTTGGATGGTTGTGTACTGCAATACGAGTCTGAATTGTGTAAACGCCTTCAGACAAATAAAGATCAGCCGGGTAAATTCCCATTTCTATTTAGTCTTTCTGCACCAAATCTTAGTTTTTCTCAAAGCGACGAAACCAGTGTATACTAGTTTCTGTGGAAGAGTTGAAAGCCAGTAAATTCTATTCCGTGCAAGCTTATAGCTAGGTTGCTTCCTTTCGTCTCTACATAGCTTTAGACAATCTTTAATTGTCTTGCATCATACTTTTGACAAAAATAAACTATTCCGCCCTCCATTAAGTCTCTGCTATATCTCCGTGCTGGTTTAACTGTTAGTTGTGGCTTTTCAAGACCCACTAGACCAACTTGAAAAGTGAGATAATGGTTAATGTATTGAAAGCAAACTAACAGTTTCAGAAACTACTTGGATATACTAGCACTTAAGACTCTGCATTCCAGGGTTAAAAGGAGAAGTGAAAAACTACTTCTCATGGAAAAACCTGTCTCACTCTTGGAAAGGCAAAAAAGACTAACAAATCGCACAGCTGTACTTCTCAGAGTTAGATTAGTATTAGTAAAGAGCGGAATACAGAGAGCCTATTTTTGTAAGGCGCCTACATTGGAATCATAGAAATGGCAGTCTTTATGTTTGAATCAGATCCATGTAACTCTAAGTCATTGGACATATGGGTACCACTAATACAAGAAATGCAAGATTAATTATTAAAATCGATTAGTCTTCCCCCTCAATGAGAAAAGTTGAATAAGGGGTAAGCTTGTGCCGTTCCATGTTGGGAGTGAAACCACTTGTTGTTTGGTTTTTCTTTTTAATATTTGTATCTGGTATTTGATCAACGATTGTCAATATGTTTGTACAAGCATAATAGAACTTCTGAGCACCCCACATACGCACACACCCCACAGATCAAGAAGTCCTGAAACAGTTCTTGGCTCCTTTAGCTTTTTCTCATAGAATCTGAAGCTGTCCGTGAGTCTGCATAAATAAGGGGAATCATTTAAAGTAAAAGAATGGAGTACCTGCATAATGCTATAAGTTTTTTTTTTTTTTTTTATCACTATTGGA